CGAGGTCAGCCTGGTCTACAGAGGGAGATCCAGGACAGGCACCAAAACTACACAGAGAAACCCTGTGTCAAAAAAAAACAAAAAAAAAAGAAAAGAAAAAAGAAAAAGCCACGGCCGGAGAGTCAGTGGTGCCATGAGTTCCAGGAATCTGTTAGTAGATGTCTTAGTTCCTGTTCTGTTGCTGTGAGGAGATACCATGACCAAGGCAACAGAAACCATTTATTTGGGAGCTTGCTTACAGTTTCAGAGGGTTAGTACATGACCATCATGATGGGGAGCGTGGCGGCAGACAGGCATGGCATCTCTGTTCTGAAGGTTACAGGCAGAGACAGACAGACTGCAACTGACATGCGCTTTTGAAACCTCAAAGCCCACCCCCAGTGACAAACCACCTCCAACAAGGCTGCACCTCCTAATCCTAAACAGTCCACCAACTGGGGCCCAAGCATTCAAACATGAGCCTACCGGGTCTTTTCTCATTCAAACCACCACGGTAGGAAAGAGGATTGTTCCTAATCCCCGGGCTCTAGACCTAGAAAGTATTCCAGTGTGAGTTAAACTGAGATATGCACACACAGAGAGCCTCATTCACTCCACAAGGTTCTTTGTGTTGTGTTTTGTTTTGTCTTTTGAAAGGGTATCAATGTGTAACCCTGGCTGGCCTGGAACTTGCTTTGTAGCCCAGAAGTGGCCTTGAACTCAGTTCTGCCTGCCTCTGTCTCTGAGATTAAAGGTGTGTGCCACCACACCCAGCTCCACAATCACTTCTGCTGCGGGCACTGTAGGAGACCGAGAACCCAGCAGCAAGCTAGACAAGTGGGTCTGCCCTTGGGGAGCCTCCCATCCTCTCCAGATACCTACTCAAGTCCATGTTCCCTAGCAGGAAGTGAAGTGGTCCAGTGTGATTTTGGCTGGATTCAAATTCTGTCCATGGATCCCATCCTGAATTATTCCCAGAATGCACTGTCACATCCTATGTCTGGAGAGTCCTGATTGGGGAGCTGTCTCTCCCAAGAAGGAGTGCAAGACCAACAGTCAATATCCCCCCCCCCCCAAGTGATGCTTCTACTGTGATTCAATAGAGGCTCTCCTGCAGAGATGACTGGCCAGGGAATCTGAACTAAGTATCACTAAGTCAGCAGGGGTGAAGGGGTCATGTTTTGGAATGCAGAGCTAGGATAGAAGAACTGGGAACCCTGAGGCCTGGCTTCCAGAATGGACCCCTCAAGACCATCTCACTGGACAGAAGCATACAAACTGCTAAGCTTGGGGGTGGTTGGCAGTCCCAAACAGGTTCCACGTGGGGTGTCCATCCCTATTCCTCACATTCCTTCAAGAGTAGACAAGTGTGTGCAGAGATTGGGGGGCTTGTCCTGCCCTGGGAACCAGCAAAGGGTAAAAACTTGGCCTCTGTGTTGGAATGCTTAGGGATGGATAGAGGCATGAGACCAACCTTGAGTTGAAGCAGCATCACCAACAAACCCAGGGATGACCTCCAGCTTTCCTCTGTGACCACTTTCTTTCCATTGCATTAGAGACAGGAGGAGAAGGGGCTGTGGTAGGCAACCTGTAGTGCCTTCCCCTAAATCAGTTCCTTCTTCCAGATTTATCTTTCACAAAGTGCATCCTGACCACTCGCAGATTCTGTGGGATCTGAGTGGGCAAGCTAACCACTGGGGAACTGTCTAGTTGAAAAGGGGGCTTGAACATAGCGGGCAATAGAAGATGGGGTTGATATTTAGGGGTGGCACTAAATCATGGAGACAGAGTCCTGGACTTTTTATGTTGCAGCTCCCAACACACACACACACACACACACACACACACACACACACACACACACACACACACACCTGCCCTCTATTGCAATGCTACCTTGTACCTGCTTCAGGGCTATCCTTCAAGGGGACCTCTAGCACTCACTACCAACTGAGACTTAGGTGGCCACTCCCCGTAGTGTTTGATCCCATACAGTCCTCAGAAGGCACCTGGTACCCGTGGGTGGGCACAACAGGTGGAAAGGGGTGTCCAGAGCAGTTTGCTGAGGATGAGAATCACCACTGTGTGAGAGCTAAGCCTGGCTAGATCTAACCCCTGGCTAGCAGTTGTCAGCTCTGACCACCTGGACTTGGCGGGAGTTGGGGGGGGGGGTGAAAGCAGTCAGGAAAATTGGTCTGAGGCCCTCCTGGGCAGGTGGCTACTATCGTCCTAAGCCTTCATCCTGCCCCCTTCCCCACTTTCCAGTTGAGCCAAATTGGGCATCCTTGGGAATGTGGAGGAGACAAGGCAGGTTACCCTGGCAACTGCCTGGCCCTGCCCTGCTGCTGTACAGACAAAGGCCACCCCCCCCCCCCCCCCCCCCCCCCCTCCCACCCCGCCACTGTGTAGGCAAGGTTCCCAACCCCCCACAATCGCCCTGGCTCAGTTCCCCCCTCCTCTGCCTTTAGCTGACGCTCCATTAGCTTTGCACAAAACCTCAGCCCACCCCCGGGAAAGGTGCTCTCTCTGAGCGTTATTGTCCTGAGCAGTGGGGGCTGGGGCCACCCTCAGGTTCTCTGGCTAGGCTCCAGGATTGAGAACGGCTCCCAGAGGGGAAGCTGCTGCCAAGGATGGCCTGGGGCTGAGGCAAAGTCTTGTGAGGGGCTGGAGACTGAGGCTAGGAGCTATTTCCTTGGCCACTTAGTGTGCCCCACTATATCTCAGGACTCACGGCAGATACTTCGAGTGCCTGGTACTTCACTGGCTTAGTTTAGTTTAGTTGACGATTTGTTTTGTTTTATTTTGTTGTGTTTCTTCACAGGGTTTCTCTGTGCAGTCCTGGCTGGATCTCACTCTGTAAATCAGGCTGGCCTCAAACTCACAGAGAGATCCACCTGCCTCTGCTTCCCGAGTGCTGGGATTAAAGGCATTCGCCGCCACCACTGCCCAGCTTAGTTGACAATTTTTAATTTATATTTTACATTATATTACTATCTGTTTTATTTTATTTATTTTAGTTTTTCGAGACAGGGTTTCTCTGTGTTGCCCTAGCTGTCCTGGAACTTGCTCTGCAGCCAAGGGTGGGCTTGCATTCACAAAGACCCACTTGCCTCTCTCTCCCGAGTGCTAGGGTTAAAGATGTGTGCCACCATACCTGGCTTTTCTTTCTTTCTCTTTCTGTCTTGAAGACAGGGTCTCGCTCTGTAGTTCAGGTTGCTTCAAATTCACTATGTAGCCCAGAAAGGCCTTGAACTTGCTGTGGTCCTCCATATTCAGCTTCCTGAGCATTTGAATTACAGATGGAAGCTACCACACTAGGTCCATGTTCACTTTCTTTATTGGGGGACAAGGTTTTTTTTTTTTTGGTGTGTGTGTGTGTCAGGGTCTCTATTATATAGCTCTGGCTGTTCTGGAACTCACAGATGTAGATCAAGCTGGCCTTGAACTCCCAGAGGTCCACCTGCCTCTGCCTCTGAGTGCTAGGATCAAAGGTGTGCGCCATGACGCCTGGCTCCATGTTCACTTTTAAGTGTGAATTAAAGTAGGGCAGAGAGCAGTGGTTTTCAACCTTCCTAATGCTGTGACCCTTTCATAGAGTTCCTCAGGCTGGAGAGATGGTCAGAGGTTTAAAGCACTGGATGTTCTTCCAGAGGTCCTGAGTTCAAGTCCCAGCAACCACATAGTGGCTCACAGCCATCTGCAATGAGATTTTGTGCCCTTTTCTGGCCTGCAGAGATACATGCAGGCAGAACACTGTATATATAATAAATAAATCTTAAAAAAAAAATAGTTCCTCATGTTACAGTGACCCCCCCAACATATAAAATTATTTTCGTTGCTACTTCAAAGCTGTAATTTTGCTACTGTTATGAATCATAATATAAATATCTGTTTTGTTTTGTTTTTTTGGTTTTTCGAGACAGGGTTTCTCTGTGTAGCTTTGCGCCTTTCCTGGAACTCACTTGGTAGCCCAGGCTGGCCTCGATCTCACAGAGATCCGCCTGCCTCTGCCTCCCGAGTGCTGGGATTAAAGGCGTGTGCCACCACCGCTCGGCAATATCTGTGTTTTTTGATGGTCGGGGTCGAGACTCACATGTTGAGAACCGCTGTCTTAGAGTGGCACATTCCGGTGGGACCTTACTGCACATGAGAGTATCCCATCCACCTTGGACACCAGGAAAACGGAGCTTTCTATACTGAGTGACAAACTGAACTGCGCCTGCCTGGGTGGCAGACCTGCTGGGCCACCACGTGCTAGTGGCCTGAGAAAGTTAGGGCTGGGTGCGTTTCGAGGATGTCAGTGAGGTGGGTGCTTCATACGAAGGAAAAATACCCAATACCAAAAAGGATTCATTTGGGGACCAAACCTTGTGGCCCCAACCATGGTGCTGCTGCTGTCCCTGGTCCTGACTGGCCGCCGGGAGCTCACCTCTTCAAGGAGCTTCTTCTAGACCTAGGTTAGGGCAAGATGCAGGGTAAATAACGTCCCCTGAAGACTCTGTCACCAAAGTAAGTCTACTGGAAGGTGAACCACTAACGCCAAAGGGAAGCGCCCTCCTCGCCCAGGCCACCACGCACCTCCCACGGTAGGGCCCTGGGTTAGCGCCGTGGTGCTGGTTTTCACCCCGAGCCTTTAGTTTTTACATGGCTAGTGTTTTTTTGTTCTGCAAGCATCCTCACCATGTGCTCTAGCTCGCTTCTAACAATTTCCCCTCATTTCTGAGGACGGAATCTGAGCTAGGACCCGGGGAAGGGCAGGGGGAGCGCGCGGCACGCAGAAGGTGAAGGTGGGAAATACAAGCAAGAAGATCTGCTCGTCATCCCCACGGGAGGGAAGACGGCTTTCTCCTTTGTCGCCGTCTCCCAGGGGCAGGAAGCTGCACGTCTGTCTCCGGGAACCCCCCCCCCCCATCCCTTTTCCACCCCCCTCCCGCTTCCCCGCCCCCGGTCGGTCGCCAGGCTGGGGAAATCCGCCGGGCCTCGGCCCCGCCCCGCCGCCCCGCCCTGCTGCGCCGCAGCCCCCCACCCCCCACCCCGCTTTGCTCAGCGGTGCTCACGCCTGCTGGGCGTGGGGCGCGGGCCGGGTGCTGCGCGGGGCTCCGGGGCTCCGGGGCGCTCGCTCCAGCTGCCGCTGCGGATATGTCGGGTCCGCGAGCGGGATTCTACCGGCAGGAGCTGAACAAAACAGTATGGGAGGTGCCGCAGCGGCTGCAGGGCCTCCGCCCGGTGGGCTCCGGCGCCTACGGCTCGGTCTGGTAGGGGCCGGCAAGGATCTGGTGGGAGCTGGGCGGGAAAGTGTGCGCGACCCTCCAGCGCGACGTGGGGTTCCCGGCGTGGGGAGGGGCCTCGCCCTGCCTCCGCCCCCGGCCGGCACGCTTCTGAAGAATGAATGGGGGGGGAGGGGACACGGAGGAAACTTTTCCTACTAGATTACACTCGTTGGCAGGGAGGGGGTCCTCTAACGTACCCCCCCATCTCTGATCCCTAGTTTCTCCCAGTAAGGCCGAATCCCGCGGCGTCACAGCTGGCGGGAGAGCAAATCTCTGGGGCTGCTAAATGGAGCAGCCATCCGGGTTATTTGGGGCAGAGTCTAAATAGCTGGAGGGTCTAACGTGCCCCCAGACCTGAGTGTTTGAAAAGGGGGCTCCCAGCGCTGTGGGGAGACCTCTCCTCTTCGGAAGCCTTCAAACTCTTCGTGGATCCTACTACCCCTCCTCCTCCAGTGTCCTAGGAGTCTCAGACAGAGGATTGAGTAGAATCAGACATCTACCCTCCTGTCTACACCCTACCCCAGTCTACCCAACAAAGGATCTCAGGATAAAGCCCGGGCAGCTAGCTAGGGCTTGAGGATCAAGGGTTAGAGTCTTGATCCGGGCAGAGTACAGGTTGGCTGAAGCCAGCTAGCTCCCAGGCACCCGGGATTGGAGAATGGGTGCAGATAGTCCATGTTGACAGGCTGGTCAAGGGTGTGGACGCGGATATGTGCCCCACACCCCAGCACTGGGAATGGGGGCTGAGGCTCAAATCTTGGATCTTATGCTGTCATTCGCCTGTGTCAAAGCTCTGACGGCAGGGCTGCTGCTGAAATCTTACAGATTCTGTAATGTAGAGGAAACCAGTCCTGCTTTACAGGACCCATAGTGAGCTTGGTCATGGGATGGCACCCCATGTCTGTAGTCTGAAATCCCAGCGCTATGAGATGGATAAGCTTGTTCTGATGACACTTGTTCCTTATCTCCTTCTTGTTTCTCTTAGGGTGTACCCCCTCCACAGTGATAGAGACAGGATCCCCCCTTCAATACCCAAGGAGCAGGACAGAGGAAAAGATAAGACAGGCTGTGTCTGGGATGCTCGTGGGCTCAGCAAGTAGAGGAGGAGGATGTTACACAAAATCCCATTTATAAACAAATAATGCAATAATAAATTAGAGGGAGGGAGGGAGGGAAGGGGGAGGGGGAGGAGGTTGGGAGTGGGGTGGGGAGAAAGGGGGGCAGACACCTTGCAGAGGGCTTAGACATGGGCTCAGATGGCATCGTCTGGGGGCTGACCATGTAGGAGTTACTGGGGGACAGCCAACTTTCCCAAGTGAGGCCTGGGTCGGTCTCCACGGTCTGTGATGCTGGGTTTGTTCAGTTGCACTCCTGAGGTTGGTGATAGGATGCCAACTCCTGGTAACTTGTACAGAGGCAATGGAGCAGGAGGATCTGCGGCTCTAGTGGCCACTCCCGCCACACCTCACCCCAGGAGTTATTTCGATGTTCTGCTTATCATAGGGAACCAGCTTCCCTCCATGACTCTCTAGTCCCACGAGCATCCCAGACCCACCATGTCCTATCCTTGCCTTCCCTCGCCTGGTGGGAATGGGTGGTATCCTGTCTCCACTCACTGCAGGGAAGGGTGCACCCTGAGATGAAGAGACTGTAGCCAGCTGGGCTCCTTCAGTGGGTTCATAGCTGCTCCAGTCTTTTTTTTTTTTTGTTTGTTTGTTTGTTTGTTTTTTGTTTTGGTTTTTTCAAGACAGGGTTTCTCTGTGTAGCTTTGCGCCTTTCCTGGAACTCACTTGGTAGCCCAGGCTGGCCTTGAACTCATAGAGATCTGCCTGGCTCTGCCTCCCGAGTGCTGGGATTAAAGGCATGCGCCACCACCGCCCAGTTTAGCTGCTCCAGTCTTGAGGGCAGTGGGACCAGAATGTGGGGAAAAGCCCTATGACCACAGCTCATGATCATGCTGGTCTAGGTCCCACCAATACAGAAGAGGGCGTGTTCTCATTTGCTCATTTGAGGCCTTCCAGTGAAGGACAGAAGGGTGAAGAGGAGCTGGGTGGTGGTGGTGGTGGTGGTGGTGGTGGTGGTGGTAGCACATGCCTTTAATCCCAGCACTCAGGAGGCAGAGGCAGACGAATCTCTGTGAGTTTGAGGCCAGCCTGGTCTACAGAGTGAGTTCCTGGACAGCCAGGACCACACAGAGAAACCCTGTCTCAAAAAAAACCCAAAAGGAAGGAAGGGAGAAAGAAGGGTAGAGATGGAGGGTCCTCCAGTCTCCAGGTAGTGGGCCAGAGAGCACCCAACCTACCCAGGATGAACATTTCCTACCATCCAGTTGTTCAGTTATATATTGTTGGGGGGGGGGGTTCTTTACTTTTTTATGAGACAGTATTTCACCGGCTAGCCATGAACTCATCTCAGATCTTTTGCTTCAGCCTCCCCAAGAGCTGGGATTACAGTCTTGAACCACCACGTCCAGCTTCAATTACAAATTAGGATGCAATAAACACCTCTTCCTTCCTCAATCTAATGTGCGGAGGCGGAGGTAGGGGGGGTGGGGGGTGGGGTGTTCATGGCTTTGTAGGTTAGCCTCCCTTGCTCACGGCAAGGAAGGAGGTGGGCTGCTTGCTGAGGGAGTGCCCGTGGACATGTTCTTAGCGTGTTTTCCATGCAGCAGCCTCGTTGTGAGTAGAGTCTTAGGTTTGGGCTAGAATCACGAGAGAAGAAAAGATTTAAAAGAAAACAAAAAACAAAAAACTCTGCCAGAGAACGCTCAGTCTACTCAAGGGGGGTCTCCTAAGGGAGGTCCAAGAAGGGCGGCGTGGAGCCAGCAGGCAGGGACTGGCCTCCTAGGTCTTGGAGCCAGCAGCGGAGGCTTGCTCTCCTGCACTCCGGCGCAGGGTGGACTCAGGCCAGGCGCTCCGCGCATCGCCTCACTCGCCCACCTTGCAGCTCGGCCTACGACGCGCGTCTGCGCCAGAAGGTGGCTGTGAAGAAGCTGTCTCGCCCTTTCCAATCCCTGATCCACGCGAGGAGGACCTACCGCGAGCTGCGCCTCCTCAAACACCTGAAGCACGAGAACGTGAGAGGGCGGGCCAGTGGTGCAGGGATTGAACAACCGACACTGCCCGGTGGGGGCGGGAGCGAAGTGGGAGGGGAGGGGCCTTTAGGGGCACGCCCCTTGTGTGGGCGGGGCCCCAAACCAGTGGGGCGTTGCCTACAGCTGTGCTGTGGTCCTGCCTCGGTTCCCTGCCCAGGTCATAGGGCTTCTGGACGTCTTCACGCCGGCCACATCCATCGAGGATTTCAGCGAAGTGTGAGCGGCCTGGGCAGGCTTGGCGGTGGCCTTGGGAGCTTAGTCCGGGAGGGGGTGGCGAGACACGGTCCTCACTCGTGCCCCTGTTGCAGGTACCTGGTGACCACCCTGATGGGCGCTGACCTGAATAACATCGTCAAGTGCCAGGCACTGAGCGATGAGCATGTTCAGTTCCTCGTCTACCAGCTGCTGCGTGGGCTGAAGGTGGGGCGCGTGGGCTCTGGGGTTCGTTCCCTCGACCGCGTTGGGTTGGGGCAGAACGGGGTGGAGCCTGGGCTCACCCGGTCTGCCCTCCCCTGCAGTATATCCACTCGGCAGGCATCATCCACCGGGTAGGTGCAGCTGTGGGCGAGGGTGAGGGTCAGTTACTCTGCCCAGGCTCACGGCCGCCACACTCACGCCCGCCCACCCCACCCTGCAGGACCTGAAGCCCAGCAATGTGGCGGTGAATGAGGACTGCGAGCTCAGGGTAAGGGGTGGGATGGGGTGTGTGAACAGTGGGAACGCACAGAGAGAGGTAGGTGTCTTACATAACGCCTGTGGTCCTCCAGATCCTGGACTTCGGGCTCGCGCGCCAGGCCGATGAGGAGATGACTGGATACGTGGCCACACGTTGGTACCGGGCGCCAGAGATCATGCTGAACTGGATGCACTACAACCAGACAGGTGCTGTGGACCCTTCACAGTGGCCTTGTCCTAGAAGGGCGGGCAGGCAGTGCTCACATCAACGTGTAGGGAAGGTGACAAATTGGGGGTAGGAAGAAGGGCTGAAAGGGAGAAGAGCATGCTTTGGAGCTCTGAGTGAGGGGCAAGAGAAATTGGTGGGACCGGCTTTAGAAAGGCTTTTCTAACTTGGTGGGTGTCCTCATACCTCTTCTCAGGGTAGGGGATAGAACTCCGCTGGTCTCTTTGGTTCTGGATATGACTGAGGGTCACTGGGCAGGCTTCTCCCCAGCTCCACAGGAAGAATTTGGGGTGGCAGACTGATAGAGTCTCCTTATTCTCCCCCAACAGTGGACATCTGGTCCGTGGGCTGCATCATGGCTGAGCTTCTCCAAGGAAAGGCCCTCTTTCCAGGCAATGACTGTATCCTTGGGGAGCAGGGTCAAGCTGGGGTCCCATTCTACAGGGTCAGTAGGGGTGGTCACCAGCCCTTTTCCGAAGTCTTACTTATGCCGTGTCACATGGGGCTCTCTGTCCTAAGCCAGAGCTCCCCAGTGTACCAGGGGCTGGGCCTGGAAAGACTGGCCACCAGGTGTTTCCTGAGCTAGGTAGACATCGACCAGCTGAAGCGAATCATGGAGGTGGTGGGCACACCCAGCCCTGAGGTTCTGGCAAAGATATCCTCGGAGCATGTAAGTTAGTGGCCATCCGTCCATCTGTTTGTTCTTCTGACCAAGCACCCAGTCATGTTGGGGAGGGGGTGGTATGCAGATAAATGGGCATCCCGTGGGGGACATGGACAGAGAAGGACAGAGCTTGTACTAGAAACCCAACCCTTCAGGGAGAAGCAGGTGAGTCAGGAGGACATCTCCAGGTAAGGGCAAGAGTAGAGTACAAACCCATCAGTACTGACAAAACTCCTCCAGCTGTAGACAATAGAGGCAGGTGAGAGCAGAGAAAGCTTTGAATAATTGGCTTCTGCAGACATCACCAGAAGCCACGTGGAGGTCTGGAGTCCCCAGACGTTTTTGTTTTGTTTTTGGAGACAGGGTTTCCCTGTGTAGCCCTGGCTGTCCTGGAACTTGCTCTGTAGACCAAGCTGGCCTTGAACTCAGGGATCTGCCTACCTCTGCCTCCTGAGTGCTGGGATTAAAGGCGTGTGGCACCACCACCCAGCTAGGGAGCCCCCAGACTTCGAGAGCAAGACTCTGGCTTGCTGGGGCACCTGCTAGGCAGATTGGAATGACTGCATCAGGGCCATCTCCTGAAGCCTTCTGCCAAGTTTGGAGTCATGGGAATGGAGGATAATTAGTCCTTCAAGCCCTTCTTATGTGTCCCCAGGCCCGGACATACATCCAGTCTCTGCCCCCCATGCCCCAGAAGGACCTCAGCAGTGTCTTCCATGGAGCCAACCCTCTGGGTGAGGACTGGTACCTGGGTATGGGTTGGGCTTCAGATCCAGGACCGGATGTGGTGTTAACCCTCATTCCTGTAGCTGTAGACCTCCTTGGAAGGATGCTGGTGCTGGACAGTGACCAGAGGGTCAGTGCAGCTGAAGCCTTGGCCCATGCATACTTCAGTCAGTACCATGATCCTGACGACGAGCCAGAGGCTGAACCCTATGATGAGAGTGTTGAGGCCAAGGAGCGCACGCTGGAAGAGTGGAAGGGTGAGCAAGGGGGCGCAGGAGAGGGGGCAGTGCCCGAGAAGTCGGCTGTGGGCTGCACTTCCTCAGAACAAGACTTGACGTGCTTCATGCAAGACACTCCCCAGAACTTGCCCCCAAGTGGCTTGGGAGGGGAAACCACATGAATGTCTGTACTCCAGAGCGAGACATGAAAGGTGTGTGTGTGTGTGTGTGTGTGTGTGTGTGTGTGTGTGTGTGTGTGAGAGAGAGAGAGAGAGAGGGGGGGGAAGAAACTTGAAGGACAATGTGGGGCAGGCTCTGTTTCTCAGCTCAGGCAGAGGTAGATGTGGTCTGGGAAGCAGATACCACACATGCAGATGAGGAACTGCGTTGTGTGTGTGGGGGGGGACAGCACGATCTCACCTCCCACCCCTCTTTTTTCGTTCCCCCAGAGCTTACTTACCAGGAAGTCCTTAGCTTCAAGCCTCTGGAGCCATCACAGCTGCCTGGCACCCATGAGATTGAGCAGTGAAGCCTGAGGGGAGGCCTGGGCCTGCCCCCTTTCCTCAGCTTTCCAGTTTTCCTCAAGAGGTGCCTCTCAGGCAGCCCTGGCACGTAACCTGGGACCCTTTGCCTTGAGAAAACGCTACACATCTAACACACATGAATGCACGGATGTGTACATATGCCTGCCATTATGTGTTGGAGTCCAGGCAGTAGTGTTTTCTGGGCCTACCTTGGTCCACCCAGGTTCTCCTTGGGACCTCCGGGGGGGACCTGAATGTGTCCCTGTCTGGAATCTCTTCTGCTCTGAAGACTCTGGATTGGGAGGAAGGCAAATGGGCCATGGCCCCCGAAGACTCTGAGGGGGTGGGTGTCACAGTGGTTGGAGCAGCTCAACCTGGAAGTGAGTGGCTGAAAGCTGAGGCAGGGCCTGTGCCCACCACCCAACTGAGTGGAGTTTCCCCTGGGGGTGGCAAGGCAGAGACCATCACCAGGTATCTAATCAGAAAAGCCAGCTGCAGCGTTGTGTCTGCCTGTGATATGTGGACAAATGGGCATGAGTGTATGTTCCTGGTGTACATATCAGAGCATATGCAGGCAGGTGCTGGTGTGTATGAATCTGTGAGCACCCAAAGGTCAGCAGCCATTTCTGGTAGGGCACCTAAGATGGAGACACTCTTGCCTCCCCTTCCCCAAGTTCCTGTTACCTAATGGGTCTTGAGACCCAGTTGTGAACTAGACTAAGGCTCGGAGAGGTGCCAAGATCCATTCGTTTGAGCCCAAACCAGGACCTTTCTGCCAGGGTGTAGGAGCTGCTGCAGGATCCTGGGGCACAAGGACACAATGCCTGCTGGGAAGCTGATGAAAGAGGGGGGGGGGTCTAATCTCAAGGATGCTAGGTGGACAGCGCCCATGAATATGCACTTGGACAGTCTTGCTCCTGGACCTTGATTCAAAGCTGACAAACGTCTGTCCACATTCTACCTCCACCTACCCTTGTACCTCTGCAGCTGGTGTGGGGTGCTGTGGTCTGTGGGGCACCCCTCATCTCCCCGTTCCCCAGAGAGGAGCTGACCAAGTAACTTTGGAGGTAGGGCGCTGTTGGAAGGCGGGCTGGCGGTGTGGCTCCTCCCCGAAGAGATGATGAACTTCTGCTATCAGGGATCAGGGGGCTCTGGATGTCAAGTGCCTGCACTTAGTGTGCACAATAAAGGGGTTTCCCTGTTGCTCTTGTTGGTGTGGAAGGCTCCAGACCCTACCGCTTCTACCGCTCCTGCTGCCTGGAGGGGTGGGTGGACCCCTGGGCTTGGTCCTCTTCCAGCCAGCCCTGAAGACTTTGCACCCCTGGATCGCTGAGTGAGAGCAGTGGTCATTTCTGGTGCCATCACAGCTGGGGGGGAAGGGGAGGGTCAAGAACCTGGGAGACTAGTGCAGGATAAGACCCACAGGTTAAAGGGGGAGAAATGTGATAGCCATCCCACATTGGTCTCTGCTGTTTTATGTACATTGGGACTCAGTGGACAGGCGTGGCTCCCTTTTACTCAGTGATGAAGCTGGCTCTGTCTGGGGTGGGGTGATGGGGTGGGATTGTCTCTGGAGTAAAGGCCAGTTCTTCCTCAGGGATTGGACAGGATACGGGAAATAGCTTTCCTTTCCTTCCTGGCTAAGGCAAAAAGGCTACCTTAGCCCAGGATACAGCCAGCTCATGTATCATGCCCATGTGCTGAATCTTGGACCTCCAGAAGCCTTAGTCTGGCAGCTAGTCCTAGGGGAAACCTAGTGTTGGGGGACTGGCAGCAGGAGTAGAACCCAATATATAGCCCTCGTTCCAAAGCCTGGTCTGGCTTAGTCCCCCCCCCCCTAGAATAAGGAGGGGAACTGGGGAGATTTTTGGAGGAGATGGGTGGGTGGCCAGAGGCCTCCCAGGGCATGAAGGGCACAGGATACAGGCAGATGTGGTCTGAGTGACCCGGAGCTCCCCTGTCTGCTTGTGAATGTGCCACACCACCAGCAGCAGCCGCCCAGGTGTAAAGCTGCTCTGGCTGGCCTTGAGCTGCTGATTCATGGCAGCAGGCAGGCAGGCAGGCAGGCATGGAGGGAGGGGAAGAGAGTTTCTGGGGGATCTTGTTACTGCTCATCCACCCAGTGGGATCCTGGAACGGACTTTGGTCACTAGGCTGTTGGAAGGTTGGTGGCTTTACCCTCCAGGGCGCATCTGGTTCAGGTCTGGGCCAGACCCCAGAGAGAAAACTCACATGAAGGCATCACATAAGATCTTTTTTTTTTCCCCCTGGGGGCACACACCTTTAGCTCATTCCGGGCTTTGAAGGTCAAACTGGAGGGCAGGTGGGATAGATAGAGGGCCAGTCCTATTCAGTGCTTGAAGGAGGCACTTCACATACCAGGTGAGGGGCCAGGGAGGGGAACAGAGGGGCAAAGGGCCCTAGCAGGGCCTACATGACCAACCCCTCGGGTTCCTAGATTGAGAAGCTGAGAGCTAGTGGCCACAGTGGAGTTGGGGATGCAACCTGAGATGTCTGGGAGACAGAACAAAATACCTCTTCTATCCATAGAGAAGAAGATGAATGGATCAGCCCCAGGGGCGGGGCACCCTTGGGAAAGAAGAGTTGAGCCGGGGAACAGGAAAACAATTGGGATGGGATGGGATTGGTAAATGGGCAGGTAAACCTGACCTGGGGCTGGAGTAGAAGTTGGTGAGCTCAAGTTGCCTAGAATGGGTCCCGAGTTCTGGAAGGACAGGAAAGGTTGCAATCCAGAGAAGCACCTGCTAAGACCCCCCAGGGCCGAGAAGCCTAATGAGGATAAAGTCCGGCCAGGGCGTTTCAGCGCCACCTCCCGCCCCTCCCGCCCCAGGTCCCGTGTGAGCTATGGGGCAGCTTCCCGCCCCCCCTCTTCCCAAGCCTTCCGCCCAACCCCGGAGGCCTCCTCGGGTTTCCGCAGGGGCCGGAGGGCAGACGGGGGTATCACGTGTTCAGGGCTCGGGGGCCCGGTTGGTCAGTGGGCCGGGAGGGACCACTTTGCCGGCCGGAGACAAGGATCGGGTGGGAGTTGGCGGTTACAGGGAGTTCAGGGTGACGACCCCAAGAGAAGAGGCCGTAAGGGACAGCCCCAGAGGCGGGCGGGCGGCGCGGAGCCCGCCTGCCACGCAGTGACCTGGGGAGAGCGGGCGGAGCCCCTGATCCCGGGTCCGGTCCTGGGGCGCGGTGCTCCGGCCGGGGATGAGCTCCCCGCCACCCGCCCGCAAGGGCTTTTACCGCCAGGAGGTGACCAAAACGGCCTGGGAGGTCCGCGTCGTGTACCAGGACCTGCAGCCCGTGGGCTCTGGTGCCTATGGTGCAGTGTGGTGAGCGTTCGCCGGGCGGGGCGGCAGGCAGGGCAGGCGGCTGCTGGCGATAACCGGGCGGGTTCTCTAGCCAAGCTGTCCGCCCCTCAGCTCTGCAGTAGACAGCCGCACTGGTAACAAGGTGGCAATCAAGAAGTTGTACCGGCCCTTCCAGTCCGAGCTGTTTGCCAAGCGCGCCTACAGAGAACTGCGGCTCCTCAAACACATGCGCCACGAGAACGTGAGTCCAACGCCCGTCCCAGATGCGGACGCTGTGCACCGGCCACCTCTCATCCTGCCCTCCCCTGCAAATACTGCCCATCGCCCCAGCTTCCCCGGGGCCTGGGTGGGTACCTCCTACCCAGTTAAGCCTCCAGCTTGAGTAGGCTAACAGCAGCTTCCAGGTGGGGAAGTGGAGGCAGATCCCAGACCCCTCTCTGGGTGACAGAACAAGTTCCGTCTCCTGCTTCAGTGGATTGCTTGGTTTCACCTTCGGTCCACCTCTATTTTCACAACCCAGGCAGTGGTCAGGGTATGTTCTAGGCCTAAGGGCTTCTCAGGGCTCACTCCAGACCCTGTCTCCACTCAGGTTGGTGGGAAGAGGGTTTTCCCGGAAGGGGCATCTCTTCCCCACCCTAGGCCTTCTTTTGCCCACCTCCTGAGGCTTCTATTCCAGGCAGGCAGGTTGCTAGGATTATGCACCCTGACGCTATCATCCCAAAGCCTCCAGTCTCTGTGGATACGGGATTTAAGGAGCATTACAGTCACCATTGTCGGTGTGTATTTCTCCCGTCAGGGAAAGCATCTCAGTTCTACCTGCCCATGGCAGGATAATGCACATGGCCACCCCTGTGTCTCTCATATCAGCATTACTGACCATCAGAATCCTTCTCTCAGCCCGGGGGCTTTGTCTTCATACGGTTCTTCCTGAGGCTGTAAGTTCGATTCCTGCTCCCACTTCCCACCTGGGCAGTTGCGCTAATCCTGACATGTTTTAACCTCCCGGATCATCAGAGTCAATAGCCCCATGGAACAATGAACTCCCTGTAGTTAACAGCAAACTGACCCCCATAACTGACCCCCCCCCCATGCCTTCATCACTGCCACTCTGGGCTGACCTGGCAGATTTTTTTAAGATTTATTTGTTTGTTTACTTACTTATTTCATATAAATGGGGCTCTATCTGCGTGTACAACTTTATGCCAGAAGAGGGCATTAGATCCCACTATAGATGGTTGTGAGCCATCATGTGGTTGCTGGGAATTGAACTCAGGACTTCTGGAAGAACAGCCAGTGCTCTTAACTGCTGAGCCATCTCTCTAGCGTCGACCTGGTGGATCTTTCTTTCTTTTCTTTGTGAAGCCTGCTTAAGATGGATGCCAGCTCTGCTTTGTCTGCTTCTCCACTTCCCCAAAGGCCTGTAAACAGTAAAAACAAACAAAATAGTAAAAGGCTTTGTTCTCATGGGTGTGGCCGCCCCCATCCTCAGAGCCCCCAACTCCCACCTACCCACCTGCCTATCTCCAGCCAAGGACTGTGGGCCTCTTCATTCACTCCCCACTTCTGAGCAAATCTGTGGGTCAACCCTGCCTTGCCAAGGGTCTTACACCAAGCTGCTGTCCTGCCCTCACCTGGGAGGGCCAGCTTTCAGGATGCCTCAGCCCCTTCTGGGAGGCTGTCATGGTAGCTTATCTTCTCATGTAGAAACTGAGGTTTGGACAGGCTGTATGCTCCTCTCACCAGAGATGGGGTTACCACAGATCCAGCCCTAACCCCCTTCACCTTCTCCTCAAGCTTTGGTCCTTGGCTCTGGGTCACATTCTACACCACAAAGTGCAGAAGTCAATTCCTTTGATGGACTTACCTTTGATAGAGTGACCTCTAGGACACTATCCCTATTTATTCTGCAGAGTGTGCTAAGCTCTCAGGTCACATCTGTGGTTTATCTGTCCCCCAACTTTGGCCATGACTAAAGTGGTCACTCATCTGTCCTTTACTTCCTGTCTATTCTTGCCTCATTCTCTCTGTCCTTTTGTTGAAACTCGGAGTACATTCATCATTATATCTATTTATTTATTTATTTTTTTTACTTTTTGTTTTTTTGAGACAGGGTTTCTCTGTGTAATAGCTTTGGCTGTCTTAGAACTTGCTCTGTAGACCAGGTTGGCCTCAAACCCACAGAGATCCGCCTGCTTCTGCCTTCTGAGTGCTGGGATTAAAGGTGTGCGCCACCACTGCCAGCCCTCAGCATTGTATTTTTGTTTAAATCCTTCTACAGGCCCCCTCTAAAAAAAAAAAAAAATGAGAGCCGGGTGGTGATGGCGCACAGCTTTAGTCCCAGCATTCGGGAGGCAGAGCCAGGTGGATCTGTGTGAGTTCGAGGCCAGCCTGGTCTACAGAGTGAGATCCAGGACAGGCACCAAAGCTACATAGAGAAACCCTGTCTTGAAAAAAATAAAAAACAAACAACAACAACAACAACAACAACAAAAATCCTTCCACAGCAGCTCTATGGATTTAAGCCAAGTCTTCTTCCTCTGTCCTCTCCTTGGTTCCTCTTTGGCCTGGGCTTCAGCCACTTGGATTCCTTCTCTATTCTGTACTCTAGAGGTGTTTACACTCCTGCTTTGGCCATCAGGCACCCCACCTCTCTTCGCTCATTATCATATGAGTAAATAAGCCCCCCTCCCCTCCCAGGAGCCCTCCCTTGATCCCAGATCTCCTACCCCCCAACCAAGTACTAGGACACTGATGTCACATTGCCCATCTGGTATCCAACTCCCTCAACCAGAAGCTGTGTTTAAATGGGTGCTTCCCCTTGGTCTAGACAGCCAGGGCATGGCCCCAGGGAGGACCTGCCAGGTATCCACTCCTCCCAAGGGACTGTCCCCACTTTGGTCTTGGGTCTGCTTCATTGGGGAGGAAAAAAAAAGGTGGGAGGGAAAACTGAGGGGCGGGGTTGCTCAGAAGCCTGGAGTCAACCCAGACGTGAGACTGCCCCTCCCCCCAGAGTATCCCGGCTGTCAGCATCCAAAAATAGCCTGTGTCTGTGGGCACATGGACCAGGGTGGGGGCTGAGCTGACAGTGGGCACAGTGGAGGAGATGAGGATAGTTACGGGAGGGTTTTCTGTCTGGGGTACAGTGCCACCCTGGGCCTGCACTGAATCCGTGCATGTCTCATGTGTTCTCTATCCTGTCTGGTCCTTGTTTCCCAGGTGATTGGGCTACTGGATGTATTCACGCCTGATGAGACTCTGGATGACTTCACAGACTTGTAAGTGCTGGCCTGGGCTGGCACAGTGGGTGAGAGGAACCTGGGTGGCTTCAGGGTGCCAGCTTAAAGGTTCTGGGTCAGGTTGGGGGCATTCTCCCATAGCCCAGGTGAGGGGTAGGGTGCACACTGCCTACTCCCTCTTCTTACCAGGGTCCATTCCACACTCCTACGTGCTCCTGGGAGCTATGAACCCTGGCATGCCCTGGTAGAGCTATGTCTCTTTCTTCTTCCAAGCTTTGGTACTTGGGACCCTCACATGGCCTCAAGTTTGAAGCTTGGATCTGATGTTTGTGTTCAAGACCCTGGCACCCAGCATGTGGCCCCCAAATCTGAACTGTCACTGCCTTTTGCTGGCAGATAGGGCCTGTCCTGTCCCATGGTTGGTCATCCCTGGACTCATACTGTTATCAACCAGAGGCCTGGGAAGGGCTGGAGTGGGTGGGTAGCAGGCATACTCTTTGTTGCTGACTGGCATAGGTCAAGATATACGATGGCCCCATTGTCCCCTGGGGTGGGTGATAATGCCATTCTCCTTTGTCTTTTCCTTCACCCACCTGAACATCCAACCTTGCAGTCCCAACCCCTGCCCCAGATTCCTGGTTACCCTGTGTGTGGCAGGAGGGACCTGGGCAGCTTTTGGGTACTGGCTTCAGGTTCTAAAAGGGCTTGAGAACTTCTTTCCATGGGCCAAGTGATGGCTGAGATGCCTACTGCCCTCTCTCGCTCCTCACATTCCCATATACTATAGGTACCCCTGGATACCGACATGCCCTTGTAGAACCAAACTTTCTCTTCTTTCTAAGCCCAGCATTTGGGCCCTCACATTGCCTGAGGTATCAGTACAACAGAGTGATCTGAGGTGCCAGTTCCGGGTGCAGCCCTAGCTGCTCACCTGGCATGTGATGCCCTTTAGTCAGGAATTTTAAAACCCTGAGGTGTAGAGTGTGGTGGCTGGCACACACTTGTAACCTCAGCATTTGGGAGATGGAGGTAGGAGGATCAGGAGTTTGAGGCCATTTGGGGCTGCATGAAACCCTGTCTCAAACAAAACAAAACAGCAAACAAACAAAAACAAAACAAAACAAAAGACAAGGGGTGGAGAGATGGCTCAGTGCTCAAGAGCACTGACTGTTCTTCCAGAGGACATAAAGTCCATTCCCTGCCTGCCATTTTGGAAAGAGGGGATATGGGCATGCATTGAGATGGTGTAATAGCCAAGGATAGGTGTGGACAGATAATAGAGTGGAGCCTCGCAGGGCATGATGGGAGTAGAAACACCATAGGATGATAGGACCCCGAAGCTAGTGAGGATGGGTGCTGCAGAGTAATACTTTAAGGGCCCCTGCTGAGATGGGGTCTTGCAAGGTATGAACTAGGCCCAGTGGGTATTAGCTTAAGTCTAGGGCTTAGCCTTGTTCCACTGGCTGCATCCCTTGCCTCCAGTTACCTGGTGATGCCGTTCATGGGCACTGATCTGGGCAAGCTCATGAAGCATGAGACGCTGAGTGAAGACAGAATCCAGTTTCTTGTGTACCAGATGCTGAAGGGGCTGAAGGTAAGCTTTGCTGAGGTGGCCCCAGGGAGGTGGGCGGAGCTTCCTGGCTGGGCAGGATAGGGCTCTGTGGCTTGGAGTGCTCCCTGAGCTGATGGCTAATGAACTCCCTCTCTTCCACAGTACATCCATGCTGCCGGCGTCATCCACAGAGTGAGTCCTGGTGGGGCCGGGAGATTACCCATCTGCCCCTCCCCAGCTCTGTAAACAGAAGTGCTCAACCCCAGCTTCCATTGCTTACCCATAAAAAGGCAAACTAGCCGGGCGGTGGCGGCACACGCCTTTAATCCCAGTACTGGGAGGCAGAGGCAGGCAGATCTCTGTGAGTTCAAGGCCAGCCTGGTCTCCAGAGTGAGTTCCAGGAAAGGCACAAAGCTACACCGAGAAATCCTGTCTCGAAAAACCAAAAAAAAAAAAAAAAAAAAAAAAGGCAAACTAGAAGTATGGTGGGGGATGTATATAATCAATCCCCAGTTGAAAGCCTGCCCTGGGGACCCCAGCCCCTCTGCCCTTCCTCAGAAGGGCCAGGCCTATTTTAGAGGCCCTAGGAAAGTGCTGCCTGGGTCTTGCTGTGGCAGGTGGGTCACAGTGGCCACCTTTCTTCCCCCAGGACTTGAAGCCTGGCAACCTGGCTGTGAATGAGGATTGTGAGCTGAAGGTATCACTGGGTGGCGAAGGTGACCAAGACGGGGGTGGGGGGTGGGGACCCCTTCTATCCCTCTACTGGTCCATTTGGCTTTTGGCCCAGGAAAAGGGGCAGACCTCAGGCATCTGAGACTGAGCAGCTAATGGTTCCTGGGGCCAGGCACCTGCTTTAGGTAAAGAGTGGGTGAACATTCCTAGTCACTCAGGGCAAGAGTTTGGAGGCCCCTGAAGGTGATCAGGGGATGGGAAAATAGAGGAAAATCCTTAGCACTTTCTCCCGAGGTGGATACAGCCAGATGAATTGACCTCAGGGAGAAGCCTGGGGGATGGGGAACCAAGACCAAAGGGGGGCAAAAGCTCCAGTGTGGAGACTTCAAGCCCAGCTTCTTTGAGTCTTCTAGACTACATTTGGCTTGTCCTCGGTGTCTTAGTTCCACCTCCCCGATCTTCTTTAGATCCTAGACTTCGGCCTAGCCAGACAGGCAGACAGTGAGATGACAGGTTACGTGGTGACCCGGTGGTACCGGGCACCGGAGGTCATCTTGAATTGGATGCGCTACACACAGACAGGTAAGAGGCTATCCAAAGATTCCAGTGCACACCACCTACAGTTACCCATTTATTCTTATTTTTCAATTATTTTTGTGGTGTGGGGATGGAACCCAGAGTCTTATTCATGCTAGGCAAGTGCTCTATCGTTAAGATGTATCTCAGCTCAGCCCTTCCTTATTATTATTTTGTACCTTTTTTTGAGACATGGTCTCACTATATAGCTCTGGCTATTCCCAGAGCTAACAATGTGGACCAGACTGGCCTTGAACCCACAGAGATCCACCTGCTTCTGCCTCTCAAGTGCTGGAATTAAAGGCCTGTGTTGGGGTTGGGGATTTAGCTCAGTGGTAGAGTGCTTGCCTAGCAAGCACAAGGCCCTGGGTTCGGTCCTCAGCCATGAAATGAAAAATTAAAAAAAGGCCTGTGTCACCATGTCCAGCCCCTTCTTCATTTTTAAGAATTTTACTTATTTTATGTGTATAAGTACTTATCTGCATATATACATATACATATACATATATACATATACATATACACATATACATACATACATATATACATATACATATACATACATACATATATATATATATACACACACAATCACATGTGTACTGGTACATGCACGGGCCAGAAGATGGCATTGGATCCTCTAGAACTGGAGCCACAGATAGTTGTGAGCTGCCATGCAGTTGCTGGAAACAAAACCGAGGTCCTCTGGAAGAGCAGCCAGTGCTCTTAGCTGATGAGCCATCTCTCTGGCCCCCTTCCTCATTTCTTGCTAGGGAGCCTTTTGTAGGTACTACTTCTGGGAGGCTAATGAGCTGGGGTGGGACGCTGCTACCCTCTGTGATGACTGCTTGTGCTCTGTGCCCCTATGTACACCCCTCCTGGCCATGTACACTTGTCTCCCATATGTGGTCTCTTGCATGTCCCCTTCTCTTGGCTCTCATGAACATGAACGTCATCCTTGTCTATGGGGCACCGATGGGACTTCCATCTCAGTGGACATTTGGTCTGTTGGCTGCATCATGGCAGAGATGATTACGGGAAAGATTCTGTTCAAAGGCAATGACCGTATCCTTCTATGCAGAGCATCATGGGCCTTCAGCTAAGGTGTGGGTGCTGGGTGGGGTCAGCTTCTGCCCTTGCACTGTGTTCCTGACCTTGGTACAGACCTGGACCAGCTGAAGGAGATCATGAAGGTCACAGGGACACCCCCTCCAGAGTTTGTGCAGAAGCTACAGAGTGCTGAGGTCAGTGGGGAGGGAGCTGGGTGGTGGGCTGGACTTGGGTTTGGGAGCTGGCTTATCGGTCTTCTCCCCCCATAGGCCAAGAACTACATGGAAGGCCTCCCTGAGCTGGAAAAGAAGGATTTTGCTTCTGTCCTGACCAATGCAAGCCCTCAGGGTAGGGCTGGGTGGGGTGAAGGTCTCAGGCTGCTGGGTATGTCCTGTTCTGTGGCTTGGCCTGATTGGCTCTCCCCACAGCCGTGAACCTTCTGGAAAAGATGCTGGTGCTGGATGCAGAGCAGCGGGTGACAGCAGCTGAGGCACTGGCCCATCCATACTTTGAGTCCCTGCAGGACACTGAGGATGAGCCCAAGGCCCAGAAATACGATGATTCCTTTGATGATGTAGACCGCACCCTTGAGGAATGGAAGCGTGAGTGTGGGTCCCATCCACACAATGGCTGGCTTTGGACCCTGTGTGCCCTGTATGGACGAGTCTCTGCCCTCTGGGTTGCAGATGAGATAAAAAAAAAGGGGGGGGGGAGTTAAAGGACATTGTGGGGCAGTACAACTTGGCCAAGTTGACTTCTGGCTAGAGGAGAAGGCAGTGGCAAAGAGTGTCCCTTGCAGACTGGCGCAAGATGGGTCACAAGAACTGTGGAGCGTCTGTGTGCTCAGGATAGCAGTACCCTTGGTCTCTACTGATTCCCTGGCCTCTCCCCCAACCCATGTTGCCCAGCATCCTCATGTCTAGACCACACTGGAGTCCTCTCTACCACTACTTATCCTTATGACTTCCTTCTCATACCTTTTGAATTTATCCTTACCCCTTTTCAGGAACCCTCCTGAAACAACTACATCTTTCTCATGTTCTGGCCATGGGGGACAGTCTATTCCCATGCAGCTCCAGGAGCTTAGCCTTTCCCCCCACATCTCCGGCCCCAGATCCATCCGTGGTTAATGTGTTGAATCTCCGGGTTCCGGACAGACTGTCCTCTTACATTGAGGACCCTTCCTATACCTTTGAGAGCTGGCCCCGGGCTGCCCACTGTCCCCTGATCTGGAACTAGCCTCTGGTGTCTGCTCCAGATTGGCAGGTCCAGCCTGGGGAGTAGGGAGGTCCTAGGACATGTCCACCAGGACATGCTGGATCCCTTGTCCTGCCTGCCATGTTGTTGCACCCTGGTGTGGAAAGGCTGAATGGGTTGAGGTTCTCAAATCATGTCCTGCAAGGTTCTCCTGCACTGCCGGCAGGCATCCGTCCCTTCTCTGTTGTCATGTGCTTTGGAGTCTGGTTCTGGGCAAAGAAACCCTTCTGCTGCTGCTCAGCAAAGTAACTCCCTTAACCACGGGCCACAGGATCTGATCTGCGGTCTCCACCTACACACTGTGGCGGGGTTCTTTTTGCTTTTGCCATAGACCACAGCGGACACAGTTGAGTCCACAGACAGGAACACGAGCTTGCTGGCTTTCTTTTTTTGAACACAGGCTCTCATCACCTGTTTTCTTGGAAATGCAAATTTACAGCAGTTTTCACCCAATGTTTTTTTTTTTTTTTTCTGGTTTTCCGAGACAGCCCCTGGCTGTCCTAGAACTCTCTCTGCAGACCAGGTTGGCCTCACAGACATACACCTGCCTCTGCCTCCTGAATGCTGGATTAAAGGTGTGCGCCACTCCTGCCCAGCCCACACTAAGTGTCTTTAAGTGGATTGGCCCATTTAGGATTAAAGGCCCATGGGGTGCTGGTTTCTCCCCTTGGGTGAAAGCGGACTAACTGTGTCATCTGCTTCTCCTTGCTTTCCAAAGGTGTTACCTACAAGGAAGTGCTCAGCTTCAGGCCTCCCAGGCAGCCAGGAGCCAGAGTCCCAAAGGAGACAGCTCTATGAAGACCTCCGGGTAGTTTGGGGGTATCCTAAGGAGCCCGGCTGGGAACTTCACAGGCACCTTGGCTCCTCTCCCCTGGAACAGGAATCCTGGTTAGCACTGTGACAGTGCCTGGGGCTTGTATCCCAAGTCACCCACCCGGAGAGACTGAGTAGACCCTCGAATCATGGACCCTCTATCTCTAAACCTGCTCCTCTGCTTTTGGGGTACCCCAGATGATCCTGGCAGAACATCTAAGCTTTCTGTCCAAGACCCTTACCCAACATGGAACTAGCCTTTGAATTCTGGAGTTGGTCTCCCTTCACCGGTGTGTATGGAAAGGCCTCAGATCTGGCAGAGTCTGGGAGACTAGTGCTAATCCTTGATCTCTGCTGGCTCTGGACAGTGCCAAGGCCAGCTCCTGAGAAGGAAGGAGATAGAGGTTTGGGGGGGGGCACTGACTCAGGGACATCATCTCTCCTCTGATGGGGGTGGACTCTCTTACACCCTTAGCCTGGAATGTAAACCAGCCATTTGGTGTGCTTAAGTGGCTGGGAGCAAATAAACCCTTTTGTAGATCTCCCACTCTGGCTGTGTGGCCCAGTGTCTGAGCTCCGATCATTTTTTCTCTTGAGCTGCCAGTCTGTGCACCAAAAAAGGGGTAGCCTGAGCTCCCTGCACCCCAGCTAGTAGAGGTGCCACGCCCTGACTCCTCCCAGGCCAAAGTGCTGGTGCCACCTAGTTCTTGCCAGTGGTCCTCAAGCTACCACATTAGGGCTTGGCCCCCTCCCTTCTTCACTGATTGGACTCTAATTAAGGCTTAGGGTCTGAGCAAGGTGTCTATGGAGCAGGATGCAGGGCAGATATTGGGGACGAGGATGTTCAGACCGGGACAGATGCTTCCTTCTTTCTGAGATAGCAGCATTTGTCTCCTTATGGTCAAAGCTTCTAGAGAGGAAGGTTACTTCTGGTCTTAGAGGCTCCCCAAGACCCAGAAAGGTGGGTTCTGTTCTCTGACCAACAACTTACCTCTACTGGCATCACCCTGGCAGCTTCCCTGAACCTACACCGTCATCTGCAGAACATTAGACCCTAGCTGCCTAGTTAGATGGTCCATGTTCTTCCCCATGTCCCAAGAACAGGTACACCAAAGCAGGACATACGGGTGGGGCCTTGCATTCCCTTCATTTGGCAAGGAGTTCTGGGCAAATACACTTTGCCCAGGCTAATCTGGTTAGAGGAGATGCCATGACCGTGCCCTCCTCTGCCTGATCCCCCTTGAGATAACCGTGGGCCAGGACTTCGAATACTTCACCCTATTACAGAGGTGTGGCTCACTGCATGCCCTGCCCCACAAGACACATAGCCCAGGGCGCATCAGTGAGGAGTGTGAGGAATGCCTCGGCCTGATTGATGTCTTTGGTCTTTAGAAGCTGGAGAGGCCTTAGGACCAACCAAAACCTGGGCCTGCACTCCAGCTCCCGATTGTGCGACGGGCACCTCCTAACTGCTCTGGGACGCTTTGGTTTCTTCTGCATGTGACAGTCCTGTGTGTCCCTTTCGTGGATATCAGTGGCAGCTTTGCCCCCCTTCCCCGTCATTGTCCTGGGGGGGGGGTGTCTGGCCCTCCCCTCTCCTCTCCCCATCTTGGGGACATCTTGCTTCAGGAAACATGATGGGACACCTCTGTGATCCCAGCACTCAAGAGGCTGAGGCAAGGACTTCAGAACTGGAAACAAGCCTGGGCTACAGGGGGAAAAATATATGTATATATATATATATGCACAACATTAGTTCAGACTTGAGCTCATGTCTCCTTTGTTCCTTCTTCCCAAGGCTCCCATCCCCTGCATCCCCCTTCCTTGCTCAGAACCCCCTCTGACCTTTCTGGTCCTACACTGTGCCTCAGCGTTCCTGATCTGGCCTCCAACCATGCCGGTGGCCTCTTTCTCACCTGTGGTCTTTTTTTATCAATCCCATTTTGAAGCCCTGTGCCATGATCCAGCTCAGGCCAGCCCCTGTGCCGGCATGCGTCCACACCTTGCTCACCTCCCTTCCTTCCACCCTTCACTGGAAGAGCAGGCAAATTGGATGTGATGATGGACAGTTGGCATGTCTGACCCTGTAGCCCTGAACCGGCAGGTTAGGCTCGAGAACGCTGGGGGAAGAAAGGCGCATAGCCGCGGCTGCTGTGATCGCCTGAGGACAAGCAGCCCCGTCTTCCCAGCCATTTCAAGGGGGACACTGGCGGCGGACACTGGTCGCAGGCTCCGTGCCACACGTTGTTGGGGGTGGCTCTGCAGCTGAAGCACTGGAGCGAGAGATCAGATCAGAGACGCTGGCCGAACCCTCCGGGAGCTGTCGCCTGATCTACTCCACCCTAATCTCGCTTGAGGGCGGGACCGAGCCTGTGAAGGAGGAAGCCGGAAGTTAGGCGGTGGGAGCCACACTGTGGACCCGGCTTAGATCGCTTTCCCGCCGGTTCGCTAGTGACTTACCGGCCGGATCTGGGCCTGGGCCTGGGGTGGTGCGCTCTTGCCCAGGTCCAGCGTCTGCTACCCGGCTCTGTCCCAAGCGAAGGGCTGTTTACGTCCGGGCTGTGAGGTGGGACTAGGCAGTGCAGTCACCTGCCAGCAGAGGGCGTCTTACGCTAGTGTGGATCAAAGTGACCACGGTGTGGCCATGGGTACAGCCCTTGTGTACCACGAGGACATGACAGCCACCCGGCTGCTCTGGGATGAGTAAGTGTGTCTGGACAGAATTAGGGGCCTGGGAGGGAACCCCTGAACACTGAGAATCCTTGTCTGCTCCAGCCCCGAGTGCGAAATTGAGTGTCCGGAGCGCCTGACTGCAGCCCTGGATGGCCTGCGGCAGCGTGGCCTAGAACAAAGGTGCCTGTGTTTGTCAGCTTGTGAGGCGTCGGAGGAAGAGTTGGGCCTGGTGCACAGGTCAGACTATGACGGGTCTGGGGACCTGAACCTGTTATAGCCCTACAGCGTCCCCAGTTTTACCGGGGTGTGGGCTCAAAGGCAGAAGGGCACTGGGTGGGCGCTCCCACCAGGAATCCCGTCTCTTTTTTTTTCCTGTGCCGCTGCTGGCCTGCCCGCTGATCTGCAGCCCCGAATATGTAGCCCTGGTGCGGAGGACCCAGACCTTGGACAAGGAGGAGCTCCGGGCACTGTCTAAGCAGTTTGATGCTGTCTACTTCCACCCGGTGCGAGCCAGCAAACACACCCCGATTTATGTCCCTACGCCTATGTGTATTCATACCCCGAGACACTGCCCACCTGCCAATGTCTTCTCGTCTGAGCTCATGACCATACCCTGTCCTGTTTTGCTTGCCATTTGTCCCAGCCCTGTTCTTGCTCAGCCGTGGGAGACCCGCAGCCTGGGACAAGCAGGTCAGGCAGCAGGCTAACTTGCACTCTGGCCCACAGAACACTTTTCACTGTGCCCGACTGGCTGTGGGGGCCGCGTTGCAGCTGGTGGACGCTGTGCTCACAGGCGCTGCGCACAATGGGCTTGCCCTGGTGAGGTGAGAACCGCCCCCCCCCCACTCCAACCCGCCTGCCTCTGCGTGTGACCCTGTGAGGGGGCAGGATGACTGACATGCCCTGTACCCCAATTTTGCATCTCAGGCCTCCAGGACACCACAGTCAGAAGGCAGCTGCCAATGGATTCTGTGTGTTCAACAATGTGGCTATAGCAGTCAAGCATGCCAAGCAGAAGTATGGGTTGCAGAGGTATGTCCAGGCATTGCAAGGGCTGGGGCACACAAACTATACAGGCAGAGGCAGATCTGGTGGCCGAGAGATCCCACCTTGCTCCCTCCACCCCTGGATGGGCTCCTGGCCTAAAGGTGGCTGGCTGATCTCCAGCATTGTTTGAATTTAGGATCCTTATTGTCGACTGGGATATCCACCATGGCCAGGGCATCCAGTACATCTTCGATGAGGACCCCAGGTGAGCCGGGGTCTGGACACAAGCTTTTCCCTGCAGTGCAGTCTTTTGGGGGATAAAATTCAAATTCATCGGAGTCAGGGTTATCTGAGAAGCCGTGGTGCTGCTGAGGGACCTCACTTCTGACCTGGCCGATTGTCTACAGTGTCCTTTATTTTTCCTGGCACCGCTATGAGCATGGGCGCTTCTGGCCATTCCTTCAAGAGTCTGATGCGTGCGCAGTTGGGCAGGGGCGGGGCCAAGGCTTCACTGTCAATTTGCCCTGGAATCAGGTACCGAGCTCCCCTCCCCCCTCCATCCAGCCCTACCTCTCCTGCTCCCCCAGCTCTGGGTTTGCGAATGCCCCCCCTGGGGCACCCTGCAAGGGTCTCCCTGGAGTTCTGTCCCCTGGGGTGAAGACCCTGAAGTCCTCATTTGTAGGGCTGTGGTCCTTCAGGGTGAAGACCCTGAAGTCCTCATTCGTGGGGCTGTGTGGTCCTCTGATGCCCGCTTTGATCTTGCTGCAGGTTGGGATGGGAGATGCTGACTATTTGGCTGCCTTCTTGCACGTGCTGCTCCCGTTGGCCTTTGAGGTGACTGTGCGGTGGGTGTCCCCCAGGGCAGGCAACCCTAGGCTTTACCAAGAGTTCCACTGTGAAGGCGGGAGGAGATTTGTGAACCATACCGCCAGTGTATGAACGAACCCTGGGGAGCGGGGGAGGCGCCTCGGCAAGTCCGATTTTATGTGAACGGGGAGCATGGGGGGGCCTCCCCTTCACCTGGGCCATGGCTCTCTTTTGCTCCCTTCCGCTGGACTCTGCCTACAGTTTGAGCCTGAGCTGGTGCTGGTCTCAGCAGGATTTGACTCTGCCATTGGGGACCCTGAGGTGAGAGCATGGCCTGGCTCGGGTAATCGAGGGTCCTGGGCCCAGCCAGGCCCCTATCATACGTGACTCACTGTGCTTCAGGGGCAGATGCAGGCCACACCTGAGTGCTTTGCCCACCTCACACAGCTGCTGCAGGTGCTGGCTGGTGGCCGGATTTGTGCTGTGTTAGAAGTAAGTGTGGGGGACTGGGGAGGCTCAAAGGCCAGGGGAGGGCGTGGGGCCAGATGGGAGGGTCGGTCAAGGTTAGGTGTTCTGCCTGGTGTAGCCACTCACGATGGTGACGTTGTCCCTGCTCTGTCCTGTGTCAACACTCTTCCTAGGGTGGATACTGCCTGGAGTCCCTAGCACAGTCCGTGTGCATGATGGTACAGACACTGCTTGGTGACCCCACACCTCCCCTTCTTGGGCTCATGGTGCCGTGTCAGAGGTTTGAAGACTGGAGAGTGTGTGTGTGTGGGGAGGGGGCACTGAAGCAGGAGTCAGGCTTACTTACAACTCTCCTTCTCCCCATAGTGCCCTGGAGTCCATCCAGAGTGTGCAGACAGCCCAGGCCCCTCACTGGACAAGCCTCCGACAAAGTCAGTATGACCTGGATCTGGGATGGTGGCTCCACCTTAGACTCCTTCGCAGTGACTGTGACTCTGAACTGTTTAGATGCGGCAGCAGTTCTGAGTCCCAGCAACCACCTCCCTGAAGGGAGGTCTCTGCCTCGGCTTGCTGAGAGCTCCACGCGTGAAGTAGCGGAAGATGCACTGAGGCCCCTCCTGGATGGACTGTGCCTCCGCCCTAGGCCCCCGGTCTGCACAGCTGTTGCCTTGACTGTGCCAGGTGCTGCTCTGGCCTTACCTCCCGGAGTGCTCCATCAGGAAGGGTCAGCCTTGAAGGAGGAAACCGAAGCCTGGGCCAGGTGAGGAGAGCAGTCTGAGGACGGGGCTGTCTAGGCCTGCCCCTGTGTGACTGATGCATATTTGGTTTCCATGTGTCCCACTGGCCTGCCCATCATAGGCTACACAAGTCCCGGTTCCCAGATGAGGGTCTTGCTGCATTGGGGAAGATTCTGTGTCTCTTAGATGGAATCCTGGATGGGCAGGTAGGTTGCCAGGGGAGCTGCTGAAGATAGTGTGGTGGCCATGTACAGCGGACTGACATGCTAGCTTGTGCAGGGTCTAGGAGATGCTTGTGGGCAAAGAGAAAGTAGACAATTTAAAGTGTAGTTTTAAGCATCTTGCTTATAGGAAGGGGGGTGATTTGATCTTGTCGTGCAGGGAAAGTCACTCAGTAGCAGCCATTTGGACAGGACCAAAGCAAAGCACAAATGGGTTTGTTAAACCTGGTTTGGGAGTTGGCCCTGACTCCTGAAAGCGCTCCATAGAGGGGGTGTGTGCCAGCCTCCAGACTCCCCTGCCTTATTATTTATTCCATAGGTAAGAAGTGGCATAACTGCCCCAGCCACCGCGGCAACTGTAGATGTGGTCATTCAGCGATGCCTGTCCCATGGAACTCAGAGGTAAAGTTTGCTTGGTTGACTAGAGACTCCAAGCACCTGGGAATACCCATTGATGGCATGGGGAGGGCTCTGGAATGGACACTGGGCAGTGTGAGCCCAGCCTATCGTGGGTCAACTTCTTAGGCTGCTCTGTGTGGCCCTGGGACAGCTGGATCGGCCCCTGGACCTTGCAGATGATGGGTATGATTCTCAGCTTGCACATCTCCCCAGCTGTGCCTGTGTATGAACAGGCAGCATGCATTTAACTGGGGATCCAGGGTTACTGTTGGGTGGGGACCCTGCAGTACAGAATGGGGGCCTTCCAGAGGTGCAGTTTGAGAGTTGGTGCCCCAGAAAGCGGAGCCATACTGGGTTGGCAGTCACACACGTCCCCCTCCCTGCCTGGGCCCCAAGTTCCCATCTATACTCTGTGGTTGAGTTCAGGGAAGGGTCTCATGGACATGTGCACATGTCCATGGTGCTCTCTCCTGGGAAGGAGAGTTCTGTGGCTGAACATCCGGGGCAAGGAAGCAAGCATCGGGTCCATGTTCCATATCCACACTCCACTGCCACAGGTGAGTGGCTCTGTTGTGGCTGGGCAGGTTCTCACTGTCCCCGGGTCTTTCTGGAGTTCCTGCTCACAATCCAGGGTCCCTGAGATTTGGGGGGTGGTGACCAGAGCCAGCAGCAGTGTCCCTAGAGGAGAGCCTGAGTGAGGCTCTGTTGCTGTCCCCACAGACGACTGGGGGGTTTCTGAGCTGCATCTTGGGTCTGGTACTGCCCCTGGCCTATGGCTTCCAGCCTGACATGGTGTTGATGGCACTCGGGCCTGCCCATGGCCTGCAGAACGCTCAAGCTGCTCTCTTGGCCGCAGTGCTTCGGGGCCCAGCAGGGGGCCGGATTCTAGCTGTAGTGGAAGAGGTAAACTGGGTAAGGTGGATAAGCTGTACGGGTGGAAGGTGGATAGAAACCATTGTCTCACTGCCCGCCCTCCCCCAACCCCTGGGCCAGGAATCCATACTCCAGCTTGCAAGGACCCTGGCACAGGTACTGCATGGAGAAGCACCTCCCAGGCTGGGCCCTTTCTTGATGGCCTCTCCAGAGGAGATCCAGGCCCTTATGTTTCTAAAAGCTCAGCTGGCGCCTCGGTGGAAGTTGCTGCAGGTGGCTGGTGAGGCACGTGGGGAGGCGCGGCCCTGCTTTAGAGCTCCGGGGAGCCAGCTTCACCGCGCGAGCTAACGGTGCTTTTTCCAGCTCCTCCACCAGGACCGTGCTCCCCCGTCGCCTGAAAAATCGGTCAAGGTGGGCGATGTCTAGTTGGAGAAGAGCGCACTCGGGCCCCAGCGAACCGTGACCGGAGACCGACGTCCCTTCTGCCGCCCAGGCATCCTACCTCTAGAGCAATAAATATCGGTTAAACGGAGTCCACCCCTGTTTCCCTTACTGAGTTCTAGTTCAGCAAGCGAGAGGTTCCAAAGGCTGCGGCTGCGGCCCCGCCCCTTTGGTGACGTAATTCCGGCGCGTCTCTTGGTGGTTGTCTGCGGTCGCGTGGGTGTGACGCCACAGCGGCGGGAGTCCCAGTTCAGCCGACTTGGGCCAGCCATGGGACGCGCGCGTTCGGTTGGCAAACTTGCCACGGTCCGTAAGACCCGAGGACGAGCGCCGGGTGGCGGCTGAGGGCTGGGAGGACGCGGCGTGTGGCCTCTCTTGCACCGAGAAACCCGAGGCGCGGATGCCTGGTTCCCAGATGGGAAGCGACGGGCGGTCGGCCCTTCGGCCCTGGTCCACCTGCGGTCGCTCTGGTGTTTGAGAGGTGTCTCCCAGGTGCAAAGTTTCCCACTCGGGGGTCCAGGCCTGGGAAGAGTGGCTATGGCCAGTATCACCCAGCTGTTCGATGACCTCTGCGAGGCTCTCTTACCTGCTGCCCAGGCTCGCCCGGGCCAGCGCAGCGTGAATAGGAAGAGGGCAAAGCTGAGCCTTAAGAGGGTAGCCTATAATGCTCTTTTCGCCAATCTTTTCCAAGAGGAGACTCATCAGCGGCAGCCCGACTCGTCGAAGCTCCCAGTGAAAAACAAGGTCCTCATGCTGTCCTTTGATTTGAGGGTGGGCGGCTTGGGGCCAGAGGCCGACCGTTTGGAGGAGCTTGTGGAGAAGTTGGAAGCCAGCCCTGGCTGTCCTCTTGTGGAGGTGGAGTCGGTGCTGGACCTCTTGGTTCAGCTGGCAGGGAGCGGCCCTCCTCAAGTGCTGCGGAGAAAACGGGATTACTTCTTTAACAACAAGCACGCAGGCAGAAACGTACCCTACAGCGGCTACGATTGCTATGACCTGAGTGTGTTCGAAATGGACGTTCGGTCGCTTATCTCCGGAGAGGAGTATTTGTGTCATAACATGGTCCAGGAAGCAGTTCAAGTGATGGAGGCTGCCCCAGGCACTGGCCTGCCCACCGTTGGGCTCTTCTCAGCGGGTGACTCTTGTGGTGACAGGTTCGAGAGAGACACCCGGGTCTCACTCTTTGGCGCCCTCGTGCACAGCCGCACATGTGACATGGATGTGCGTCTGGATCTGCCCCCTGTGCCGGACAGCGCAGACTTTTCCGGGCTGGCCATTAAGGTAGTCTTTCTTTCCCTTCAACATCCCTAGAGGGTTGGAAAATGCCTTCTTTGACCTTTTACCGTGGTGATGCGGGAAAGCCCGCGCCCAGAGCATCAGGTCACCGGTTTGTTAGGAAGTGGAGGTGTTGGAGAGGACTCGCTGGCACGCTCTTGCACAGGGATGTGCTTGCTGCTCACCTGCATCGAAAAGCAGCACACAACTGTTCATCTTTTACCCCCAGGGCTTGTTGTAAAGTCATTTCTCTAGTGCTGTTCATTTAAATTCAGATTAATTAAAAAGGAAATACATTCTGTTCTTCAGTTGCAGAGGCCACATTTCAAATATGCCTGGTTTGCATGCTTCTTGGTGTACTTTCCCACTTGTAACATGGGTGTTTTCCTGCCAGCCACTGAGTAAATTGTCATTGTCTCTTGTGTTTTATTACTTTGTAAATTCTACTAAGAGGATGAACTATTACTACTCAGTTTTTTAAATTATGAAATACCTAGGCTATTTACAAGTTTAAATGATCTCAGTGTACATACATTTTTCCAGATTTAGTGTAGTTTTCTTTTTCTGCTGAGTGCTGCTGAGGGGATGAGGTGAATAGAGACAGGGTTTCAGTATAGCTCAGGCTGGCCTCAAACTCATGGCCTCAATCTACAGAGTGCTGGAATTTCCATATTACCTTATGTTGTTTTCCCTAAAATGAGGCCATGTATTATGTGAAGTTAAAAATTAACACTTGTACTCTAGGTAAATCTTCCTGTGCAGCCCAGCCTAGTTCCAAACTCATAATCCTGCTTCAGCCTCAGGAGTGTTGGGATTACAGGCATGCACCACCACACCTGACTAAAAATTGATAGTGGATTATTTTAATTCTTTCCATGATTTCATTGTGATGGGGTGTATTGTGTAGTACATTGGAACTTGAGAAAAAATAAAATATTTTGCTAGGTCTGTCTGTCTAGGGAATAAATGGATGTGGATAAAGTTCCTGGAATGTTATACCCCACTTAGATGAATGCATACACAAAGAAATAAATAGTGAATTACTTTTCCCTGTGGTCTCCAGGTCCCACAGATTGTGGATCAATGGGAAGATGAAGGGTTCCAATCAGCTTCCAATTTAACTCCTGACTCCCAGTCTGAACCAAGCATGACCCCGGACTTGGACCTGTGGGAAGCTGTGCTCACATACGAAGCCAGCAAGCGGAGGTGCTGGGAGCGCATTGGATGGTATGTGACCCTCTCTTTGCCTTTAAATGCACTGTGCCTTTGCCCCATATCAACAGCTTACTTTGAAACCCCAGGCAGTTGTTTATAGAAACATCAGTGTTGAGATTAAGAGGCTGACATTTCAGGTAAGCTAGGGTACAATATTGTCCGAATCCTATGAGGTGAGAGACGTGGAGGAGAAAGGAACATTCCCCACCTCTTCACCTCAGTGGAGTTAACTGCAAGTTAACTGCAGATCATAGTTATACAGTCTGTCTTTCCACCAGGACTGCTGGACAGATGTCCCAGGGCAGCTGGTAGGCTGTGTGGCCAGTGCCTGGGAGATGCTCCAAGACCCTTATTACATGAGTAGAAGCCATGGGTGTGGTGCCTTCTGCTGGCAGAAGCATCAGCCATAACAGCCTTTCCCTGAGTGCTTCATTGCCTGAGACTGGGCCACATACTCTGCGTATATCTGAGACTAGGGATCCCTGTCTTCAGTTTCTTTCATGCTCTGAAGTGGTGCCCTTTGGAAACACCCAGAATGAGAATTGAGGACATGTACTTCACAGACGTTTGTTCATGGATTCCTCTTCACACCCTTTTGCTACAGTTGGGAAAACAGTTGGGAAGCACTGAAGTAAAGAGTCAGGGCTGGAGGAGCCTTGTGTCATCTGATGCAGCCTCTGGGTCCCTACAGGGTCTCTGAGGGGAACACATGATTGGGGGAGTGGTAAAGCCTTTTTGTGTGTAGGGCACTACTCTATGTGAGGAACTTTCCTAGGTGTTGGCATAATTGCCCATTTGGATCCCTCAAAGGGATGGCCAGCTCCCTGCTCTGTAACTTAAATGGTGTTGGTAGTTGTCTTGCCTTTGAAGGGCTTCTCAGTCTTCTAACTTCACACTAGGGTTTTGGTCCTGTCTTGTTTGTACAAAGCAATTGTTCCCCCTTTCTACCAACCCTTTACATGCTGAGAAATTGACCTTCTAGCCTACTGCTTTCTTTGTAAATGTTTATTAGTGTTATTTCATCTGTTAGCTTTTCTGTGTCACTGTTTGGGAGACATGGTCACTTAGCAGCTTATTTATTATCCGTTGTCAACATACTCCATCCTTTTGGTGTTCTCGGAAGCACAGGATTGGCCATAGAGCTCCAGCACAAAGTAGCACTCTAGCAATGTTTCCTGCAAGGAGGACTATATTCCCAAAGTGGTATTGTTTGAGACAGGGTTTTGCTGTGTTGCTCAAGCTAGCCTCAAATTCCTGAGCTCAAGGATTCTTCTTCTTCTTCTTTTTTTTTTTTTTTT